AAACAGAATAAGCAACCTTGCAGCTCCAATACCCTGCTCCTTTGGCGCACCTACAGAACTGGCTGTTATAAAATTCTCACAGACAGATCCCCTAGATCTTAATTCATTCCCCTTTCAAAGGAGGCAGCAATCTGCTCTGCTTGCTGGCTTCCCACACAATGTGCAGCTGCCAGCCTTATGCTGAGGTGGATCCTAAACTACAGACTGGCTCACTACATACTGTACAGTACAGTACATATAGCAGTCTGCACTCATACATGGAAGACTGCCTCTCTCACAATACAACACAGACAACTACAGCAGTCACTAGCCTCCTGCTGAGCAAGACACTGCTATACATACTCCGTAGTGAGACCTGTTCACTTAATGTACATCAGACTGGTAGCATCTCAGGAGCTGATGCTGTACAAAAACTAAAATAGTCCTGCTCTCTCTCATCTTCGACCCATTCAGTCTCACTGCTGTGCCTTTGCATGAGTCAGGCTGACACATAACTATGTAGCGGTGAGGCTTATTAAAGTACAGGAATTAAGTTTTCTGCTCCCTTTCCAGTCCCTCTCTCCTTCATCTCAGTGGTGCTTGTCAGAGAGGCCATTCCATTTGGTTCACATTGAGGTGTTTTTCTAGCTGATAGAGTTTCCTGATAAGGAGCAACTCGCAAAAGCTGAGGCACATCAAGAAACCTTAATAAATGGTCATCTGGCGGCTAAAAGTCTGAGATTCCAAGGGAAAGTGTTATTCAAAGTTGGCTTATGACCCTAAGGTCAGAGGGCATGGTTACTCATCATCAGCCAATCAGGAACTGGTAGGGCAGGTTAACCCCACGTGGGTCTCTGATGCCCATGAAACTTTCAACCAATGAACAACCTGCAGTTCCTCTAGGTAAAAACAGACAAAACAGAGCGCCTGTGGAACGGTTCGCAGGGCAGAACAGTTGGGAAGCGCAGAACAGTTCCCAAGGAAACACAGTTTCCAAGCACAGGACATTCTCTTAGCGTGCCTGCTGGACATTCAGCCTCAGGGCTCCTCTTGAACATCCTCATACTCAGCCCGGAACACCACGTAACGGCCAGTGTGTCCGAGTGCCAGAACTTTCCTTTGTTCTAAGAGTCGAGAGCGAAGGTTGCCAGCGCGTAACCAAAGAATCCACCCGAGGTTAGCACCAGCAGCAAGCCTCGTGGACAGGTCAGAACTGTGGACAGCTGAATCAGTATTCAGAACTTCCGCTTCATCAGGAACGAACCGGTCTTCTTCCTGACCTGCTGGGACCCACAGTCACTTTTCTCACTTTTCTCCTGTGCACAAACTCTGTTAGTTTCAGCCAACACTAACTAACATCGCTGCTTGGCACCGACCCAGAGAGCGCCGATTGGACAGCAACAAGCCTGCCTTTGCTTCTGCAGGAGATCTGAATCCCCACAAATTGGATGAGTATTCAACATTCTGCATTACTGCTCAAGAATTCAATTGATATCTCAACCAGTTGATATCAATTTAATTCCTAAGAGTTATGTACTTGTTTTGAGTATCTAGTGTAGAAGTTGTAACCAAGTTAATTTACGAAACGGTCTAAATGAATGATATACTGAATGTATGTCCCTCTTGGTATTTGTAACTCTTTGTGATTGAAAATATGTCTCTGGTATTCTGCTAACCCTCACAATAAGATCTGTTATGTTTATATGCGCATTTATGTATTAATAAATGTATTCTCGTGTATAAGTACCTGTGTGTGTGCGTTGTTTGAGATATCCAGCAAGGTTGGATTCTAATACCATCAAAAGAATCATTTTGTGACTTACTGCCACAATTAATAATTGGCCCAGTTAAGCACAAGCCCCTACATTTACTGGTGCCTCGTGAGAGGATACTAAAACTATACGCATACTGGCACTACATTTGCTCTGCCTTTACTATAACTTTTACCTTGTCCCGCATTTGCTGGGTGAACTACTCATTGCACTTCATTTCACTAGGGAAACAAACAGAAGACATGCTTTTTTTCCCTCTCAGTCCTGAGGCTAGCTCAGCCTGATGGTCAGGCTTACTCAACTCTCAAGGAAATACACAGTCTGTACTTGTAAGGCCACCCACAGCTGTAGCTGATCAGATCACATACTGTACTTCCTACAGCTGCATTCATTCAGAGGCAGTCCAGCTCCACCACTTGGCATCCCATGCCTCAGGCGGCATTACACTACATATAAATATCACGTATATTGCTTACTTGGCCTGCATGTTTCATTTTCACATTTGCCATGTGCTCTCACCAGAGACAACCCTTACCATGCTACTCTCCATAGCTCCTCTTTTGCTTTCATTTCAATATTTCAACAGCATTTCAACTTACTCAGTAAGCCATGGACCTCCAGCTGATTTGAAAGCAAAAGTGAAACAAAAGGTCTTTGTGTCACAACTCCAACCTCTGGCTATTCCTATCCAGCCACAGCAGTCTACTTTCAGTTTTTCCAGCAGCCAAATCTGTCTTCAGTTTTTTCCAAGTGAATGTTGCTAAGGTTCTCCTGCAAAACCTTGAAATCAACCCGTTAACCCAGACTCCAACTGTCACGAACCACATTCCTATGAACACCTCTCGCCACCAACACCTGTGCACAAATTAATCGATTGTTATTCCTCATGCTCTTCCCTATTTATACCCTCTGTCACTGTTAAATGGATAAATGTTTAATTTTAAGATGCTCAAGAATCAATCTATAATGTTGATATCTGCCTTTGTTCCAGATGCATACAACAA